GCATTTTACTCCGGTGTTCTCCGGATAGACGTCCGCTGATGCCACGGGCAGCGAAGGGCAGAGTACTAAGTAAGCCGCGCTATGGTCCCACTCACGAAATTCACTCTCCCCTCAAGCCCAGAATATCAAGTCTACGTCAGCCACCATCATGTTTTATTGAAAAAATATCTGCTTGAGATAAAATGCGTCCTGCTGGGGCAAAACAGGATCAGAAGAAGAAAGGAAGACTATTACCATTTTCCACGTGCTCGCAAAAAGCTGACTCACAAAAAAGGTAACTGAGATGCAGGGGGGATCGGTGGCCGTGCTTCAAGTAATGCGAGACTCGATCGTATTTACGTCCCAAGCTCGCTTATTTCACACGTGACTGCTTATGACGTAAAACCAGTTTCTTTTTCGGACCACTGCCTTGTAAAGACCCGTTTTGGAACAGACGCACCGCGAAAGGCACAACCAAATTGGCCTTTATGGAAACTAAATACAAGACTGTTAGACAACCAAGACTTTCAGAAACGTGTCCGCGAATGTTTTAATCACGTGTCAACGAATCAGAAATTTGGCATATTTGCTCAGTGGGACTCCTTCAAACAGGAAGTTAAGGATGAAGCAATCGAATGCGCGTGCATTGCATCCTTTCATGCAAAGAAGGAAGAAGCTACACTTTTGAAAAATCTATGTATGCTTCACGAGTTGGAGTACGAAACACCTGGTATGTTCCAAGAAGACATTCTTCGCGTAAAATGTCAGCTACAGCAATACGAGCACATTCGTTTACACGGTGCACTAGTACGGTCCCGGTGTAGGCGTTTCTTGTCCTCAGAGACACCCACGCGTCGTGCACTCGATGATGAGAGGCGTAACGGCCTTTCAAAGAAAATTAGAGTTTTAGAATGTAATGGGACACTCTCAGACAACGAAGAAGTCATCATGAAGGCATTTGAGTTGCATTACAAAAGTCTCTTTTGGACAAACTCAACATTTAGACATCCAGTTGGCAAAAAACTTAGTTTCTTTAATGCCCCAGGTAAAGCAGCTTCAGCGAAATCTCCTCAGTGGACCAGTAACATTGGAAGAAGTTCGATGCGCGGTAGACGAGTTGCCAAATTCTAAAACACCAGGACCTGATGGGCTCCCTGCAGAGTTTTACAAGACATACAAGGACTTGCTATGTCCTTTCCTACTTGAGGTGTTTTCGGAGGCGTATGAGATGGGAACTTTACCGCTGTCATTTTATGATAGCCATACCGTGTTGATCCCTAAAAGTCAAGACCCAGACAAATTACAGCGCATTGAAGGCTATCGACCAATTAGTTTATGCAACGTAGATTACAAAATTTTTGCTAAAATTTTGACAAAACAATTACAGTGTGTCACGTCATCTGTTGTTGGAGACCACCAAACCTGTGGGATTAGGGGGAGACGTGTACAAACTAACATCCACGTTGCGCGTTCAGTGATAGAAAGCTGCGTTCTTCATGCCGGTCAGGTCGCCATGGTTCAAGTAGACTTGGCTAAGGCATTTGATCGCGTGTCCCATGCATGCTTTCCTGTTTGCTATTTTACGTCATGTAAACCCAGGACCAACACTTTTAAAGGCTGTTAAGTTATGTTACCGTAACTGCGCCACCAGGCTTATAGTTAACGGTTCACTTTCAAATCGAATTCGTCTGGAATCGTCCGTCAAACAAGGATGTCCGCTATCACCGCTTTTATTCTCGCTTTATTTAGAACCCCTCTGTTTAAGTGTACTTAATAGCCCTATCGTGGAAGGTTTCCGTCTCTACTCTTCTGAAGTTAAAGTATTGGCATATGCAGACGATATAGCTTTCTTTTGTGCCGATAAACGTAGCGTCGACAATGTCCTTACAATAACACAAAACTTCTGTGACGCAACCGGCGCACTCGTTAATAAGGAGAAAAGCGTAGGTTTCTGGTGCGGGCAATGGGCCACAACACCTTCAGAGTATGCTGAAATATCGTGGAGCTGCATTGCCCCTCAGTACTTAGGAGTTCCTCTTAACAGTATCCGTAACAATGGTCATTACTGGACTGAACGGGTGTCAAAAATCAAATGTCAAGCTGACAAGATGAAATCCAACCAGTGGTCAGTTTTCGGGCGAGCTAAGGCCTGTAATATGTTTCTCGCCGCCAAACTTTGGTATATACTTCAAGTGATTTGCTGTACCAGAAGCCATAGTCAAAAATTCCACAGAGTGTTTGCTACTTTTATATGGAGTTCCAATTGGGAACCTACAAGACGTGATAACCTCTTTCGCCCCATCGATGTCGGCGGACTCGGACTCATACACATCTTTCTAAAGCAAGTAATATCTCGATTTTTATTCTTCAAAACTGCATCTCATCATTTCCTTCGCACTTACTTACAGACGGAACTCGGGAGTGCATTATCTTATTTGGTGGTTACGACGATACCCGCAAGCACATCACGTCCTGTGGGGTACCTCAAAGAAGTGGTGAGCGCGATTGAGTTTCTAACAGCTCGTTTTTCTTTGGAGCATTTATTTACGGTTTCACGCAAAATCTTATATGCTGATCTGATTGACATAACGTTCCCTGAACCTTTGTACCGAAGCATATATAGTGAAGGCCCTGGAAAAGATGTCCTCAGACGTGTCCGAAAACTACATGTCTCGCCTAACTCAAAGTCATTCTTCTTTAAGCTCCATACTTCTACGTTACCTGTAAAACCCTGGCTTCGCGAACGTGGAATTTTTGTGCCGTGGTCAATCAATTGCCGCCTTTGTAACCAACCGGAAACTATACAGCATTGTTTTATTTTCTGCACTGATGCTTACCTTTTCTGGGATGTCCTACAAAGGACACTGAAAAAAGACTTGAATATCAATGCTTACACAATCCGTTTTTTGCCCTTAAAATTAAATAATAGTTTTCCTTACGATCTGTTTACATTAATGGGGTTGCATAGCATCTGGAAAACAAGAATGATTGACAGGAATGCGGACCCTCCCCGGTCTATCAAATCAAATTTCATTGAAACCGTAACGCATGTACGAAATGTATTTAACTACCTTGACGAGCGGCCAGATTGGTATGTTCTTTTTGATCGATGCAAAATGTGAAACGTGAAATTTGTATTTATTTAATATTCCTTTCTGTTCCTTCTGTCTATTCACAACAATGAGCCTATGAGAGTATAAGATAGAGAATTATATGTAATGGGAATTGGGATGTGATACCTTACCATGTGTTTGTCTTGCTGTTGTCTAATATTTCCATGTAATAAAAAAAAAGGATCGGTGGCCGAGTGGTCTAGCGCACACCAGCTCGGAGCACGTGGAGCAAAAGCTCGCGCTGCTGAACCCAGGGATCCTGGGTTCGAGCCCCACCCCTGCCCGTTTCGATCTGGATGAGCATCGTACCGGCGTGCGGTCGTGTATCACTACTGCGTGATGCACGTTAAAGACCCCAGGCTAGCGGCTGTACCGCACTGGCTAAATTGCTCATCTACAGCTGGGAGACTCGTCGCCCCTGTGAGGCAGACCAAGTTCTAGGCTGTATAAACACACACACAACCCAATTATTATTAACTGAGATGCAGACAACCTGGCTGGATTTCAAAAATAAAGTGGGCCAACCCTAGAAGTTTGACTACACAAAAGTAAGTAGCTCTTAAAACAGGGTCAAATAATATGAAAGATGCAGAAAAAAATAGATCCTGTTTTCTAAGAAAAGATAAGTGTGCCGCAACGAACGAGAATGCTTGTGGCAAAAATACCTTCACATACTATCGCATCTCTTTTATTGGATTTTAGGGTTGACGGGGCGTTGTCTCGTGTTGTGACATTATGAAAATGGTCATAGTCACTATAACCGAGAAGGACATTGTTAATTATTGTTTGTGCACTTACCTCTTCCAGCTTCTCGAAGAGGCACACAATCACTTGGTGACCTCCTCTCCCCGTCTTCGATGGCAAAGAAAAGACAACGGGGACTAAAAAAAGCGGATATAACATGCCCCCCCCCCCCTTTGTTTTTTCTTTTCTTTTCTTGTAAAAATGTTTATTTTGGTTTTTGGACATTGTTTTTACGGTCTAAAAATATGCTTGGTGTTGCAAATAAAGGCTTTGCGGAACTGAAGAGTGCCAAGCCTTCCTTTGCGCTGGTCAATTCGCGTGACAGTGTCACTGCGCTTGACTTTACCAAAATAAAAACAATTAACCCTTTCTTTAGAAGGGGTGGGGCGGGGGGGAGGGGGGGTTGATCCCGAAAAACGTAAAAAATTAAAAAAAATACATTAAAATTACTCTAGAAAATATGTAATTATTCCGTTACTAAATTACTGATAAATGTAAGGGATTACAAGTAATTTAGTTACTTGTAGCGGATTACGTACAAGTCTGGTTCAATCCCCACCCCTGTCCGTTTCGATCTGGATGAGCATCGTACCGGCATGCAGTCGTGTATCACAACTGCGTGGTGGGCGTTAAAGACCCCAGGCTAGGGGTTGTGCTGCACTGGCGAAATTTCTCATCTATGGCTGGTAGACTCGTCGCCCGTTGAGGCAGACCAAGTTCTAGGCTGTATAAACATACACACAACCAAAATTTTCTTTTCCTTCGTGGCTAGCAGTCAGGTGTCTGACTTCTAAGGCCCCTTCAGGTTTTAAAATTAGCGCAAGGTGGGTCGATGCACGAAGCACGTTCAAAGTGCAGCCCTTGGGAAGACCAAGGCCGTACGGTGCAGCACTGAGCTAGATAAAAGATGCCAAGTTCTTCCCAGAAGATGCGCGCGTGACATGTCTCGACTCTCGAGCATTTCCAGAACAATGAATGGCGCCACTTTTTCCATGAAAGGGCATCACGCGACCGAAGCCTTTATCTGTTACACTTAAACGGCTGAGCGGCCGCAGGAACCTTTGATCTCATTGACGTAACTCGCAAAAAGTTGGAGATATCTGGCGAGCTTAAAAAGGGCACGCTTCGATCAGCACTCAGTACTGACCACGTACACCACGCAAGATGCGCCTGGGCATCTTCCTTGCTGTTGTGTTCCTGGGCATTCTACACCGGGCCTCGTCGGTCCCGCACGGTGTATTGCCCCCAAATGCGTACGCTGTAAGACATGACACTTCCCCCCAGGTTTCTAAGGCACCAGCCGACGAATGCAAAAACGTTTCTTCGTCGGGCAGTCAGAAATGTGGAACAAAGACGGTGACCCACGAGAAGACTGTGATCCCCATCGAGAAGACAGGCGAGACCGAAATCATAAATGGCGAGAATCGCGGCTGTCCCGGCGATAAAGCTCGACAACTGAAAGGTTGCGTCGACATTGGGACAACGACTAAAGCTCCTGTTACTTCACCAACAACACCCCCGTCAAGAAAAGACTCCGTGACTAAAAAGCCTGAGCAGTGCAACTTCAACAACTGCAAGCTTCCCAACTGCTTGTGCGAGAGCACGAAACCTCCGGTAGACAACATGCCCCAGTTTGTGATGCTGACCTTCGACGACGCAGTCAACCAGGAAAACATGAAATTCTACCAGGAGCTTCTTGCAGATCCCAAGCGCAAGAACATGGCCAGCGGATGCCGCATCGCGGCCACTTTCTTTGTTTCGGGAGACTACCTTGACTACCCGTCCGTGAACGAGCTCTACAGAATGGGCAACGAAATTGCGCTACACTCCATCAGGTAAGTTTAATCCTCCGTTCGTACACTCGAGCAAGGTACGGAGAAAAAATAAGCCCTTCAAAACTAAAAATGCTAACACAAAAACAACAATGGTCGCTTTTTTTTTTTTTATGCGGGGTAAAAAAACAGTGTCTTTTGTCTCCCAATAACGAGCAAAGGCAGTGATAACTGAGATTTGGATTCATCGACAAGCTAGAGATCACAGAGCCGCCGTTTCTTGCACGCCAGAACGGAAAATATGAGAGTCGCGCCTCGGCCTTCTCGTGAAGGGCCCTATCCAGAAAGAGCAACGAAGTGTCAAGATAAGAAATAAAAACAAAAGGGTGATCGCGCTTGGCAGCAGCAACGCTGCAAGCCTGGCGCTCGCTTGTTTAGCGCGTGCTAGGCGTATTGAGCGGGTCGCTGGCTTCGCTTTATGTGTGACCACGTGACGTGATCCAGCTGGAGTACCTCGAATCACGGTGAAGCATATGTAAACGCTTTGGACACGCGCCAGATTACAGTCACCATTGCTGACGTTCTCTTGCCTTACCGAAATAACGAGCCTCCAGAAAGATCATTGTTGGGCAGAAGGACAACGAATCTAAAGTGGAAATAACCTGGCCTGCTATGATAATGGAGTGAAGGAAACGGAATAAGAGAAAAAAAAAAACTGCAGGTCAGTAATGACGGCGTCCATGCACAGCTGCTTTTAATCACAGCTGCCACATAAAGTCCTCTCCTCGCCGTGGTTGCAAGCGGCGCCACCAGATGGTTCCTCGATATGCAGCTAATGGCAGCAGCATCGCAGACACGGTTTCCCGCGCTTCTCTATGGGAGACATGCTTGTTTTTAAAGTCGCTTTCTGTACGCGCCACGTCATAGAGAGCTTGGTAGTTGCGCTACACGTGTTGCATAGACACTGCTTCGTAACTTACCCTAGTTTCGTGCCTCAACGGCGGCAACACCAGTTTTATGACCGCGTTGAAGCCCAAAGATATCTGTCGCGGTATTCAAGTCCAGCAGCGTCTGTCAAGGTTAAAGTCGCTATGTACTGCACAAGTAGCGCCATTGCCTTCCATGCATTCGTGTTTCTTATTTCATCACTGGAGTGAGATTGGTCATGGCCGTGTCCCACTTGAACGACAGACACACACAACCGACACCAACAAGCTGCAATGACGCAAAGGCATCTTTAGCAGGCTTGCAATCGCTAGTGCTTACTTCCCGAGTACCGAGAGACTGCAATCCTGCCAAATATATACATGGCGTGCACGGGACGTCATTCAAAGAGCGCTCCAATGACCACCAGAGAAGAGGGGAAGAAGGAGCTACCCTCTTATCAGGATCCTCTTTTATGCCTCCTAGATTTGCACAAACGTCGCTATTCTCCTCCCAGGAGATTATAGAAGATTAGCCCGTCACTCGAAATTCTTAAAAAACAGCTTCCATATCCTCCTCTTACATGTCGGTCAAAACTAAGCGATGTGACGTCAGTGCAAGCCATGTATAACACTTTTCATGGCAAAGGTCACCAGGTGGTGCTCCAGTCTTTGGTGTCCCAAAAAACGTCCGGTTCATAAAAAAAATGAACAAAGCCCACCCCACGGTGTAAGATACACTCTATAGGTAAGGACACGGCGGGGCTGAACGCGAGGCGCGAGGAATCAGATAGTGTTCGTTCGACGGGCATCCGAAAGGCTGCATGCAGCATTCCGCGGCAACCGTGCCGGCGGCTGACAGTGTCGCCGGCGGCCAAACGGAGAAACTCTGTGAGAACGAAAAAAAAATTATCTCGTTGCCGTGACACCCCGGTATACCGTGGTCTTTCTGCCCCAGCGACAACCTCGCTGGAGCTCTGCGCGTGTGGAGTATGAGGCGGCACGAGCCGTCTTTGCCGTACCCACGGGTCGACGAGTCATCTGCCGCCACCGCTTGAAACCATAGTGAGAGAAAGAGAGAGAGTGAAAAGCGAACTTTATCTGCACTGCGCGAGGAGCGCGCTGTCCTCACCTGAGGAGTATTATCTTAGGTGTAATACGCCAAAACAACAGGGACAGACAAAACGAAGGTAGAACTAGACAGGACGCGGCGTAACTTTCAACTGAATTGTTTATTTAGAAGACAGAATTTTGGAAAAATATAATATAAAAGCAGGCACACGTGGCAGAACAACAGATATGGTCCAAAAACACACCCCCCTCAAATGCCAGCGTCATTGGTTCTTCAAATAGTGGAATTCTTTATCAGTCAATGACAAAGAGGGAGCGCTTATGCAAGTATTGTCGTGGTGGGACCTAATCAGGAAAGCTTCATGAATTTCTCTTGCCGTTTTTGTTTTATAATGGCCCATGACACAGGTGTCACCAAAGATGGGGCTGCACTTTTCAGAGTTGGGCCCGCAATCGCAACGGTCACAATGAACCGCTAAGTGGCCAGACGGGGACTGTCTGATCGCCAACGCATGCTCTCTGACCCTATCATTAATGCATCTCCCCGTCTGGCCAACGTACACCTTACCACATGACAAGGGGATTTTATACGTGACACTGGTAGCGCACTCGCGGAACTTGGTGACATGTCGTTTTTTGCATGACTCTCGTGTCACATCCGATTCGTCTCCTAATCAGCTTATCCTCTTACACAGCGAAGAAAGTTTGTTCGGTGCGGAAAAAACGACTGGTATATCAAAGCGATGGGCCACCTTCTTCAGATTGTGGGACATCTTATGTATGTACGGTAGGACAACAGGCCTACCTACTCTCTTAGGAGCCCTTTCGCACACTGCGCTGTTGTCTTTTCTCATATTTTTTGCTAAGGACTCTGAAACATCTCGAAGAACATGACGGGGGTACCCTGCCGCTTCAAGTCTGCTGAGTTGAGAATGAAAACTGTTGTTCATCCTGTGGGGGCATGATTTCTTTAGCGCTGCCCTTAGGCAAGATGAAGCAATGCCCCTCTTCACTAACTTGGAATGCGCCGAGCTGAATGGAAGCATTCCTTTCTTGGAACGGGGCTCATACGCCCAGCAGGTATGCTCCGCTCCGAAATATATCCCAAGATCCAAAAACTGCAGCCGACCACAGACCGACGTCTCGTGGGTGAATTTTAAGCCGAAAGCGCAGCTAGCGAACAATTTTAAGAAATCGGTGATTGCTTGATCATCCGCAATTACAGGGCGGGAAACACACACCAAATAATCGTCTACGTAACGAAAAAGTTTTACATGTTCCTTTTGCTGAATTTTTTCAGAGATACGCTTGTCGCAATTTGCAAGAAAAATGTCACACAGTACCGGTGCTACAGCGGAACCGATGCAGATACCACGTTTCTGCACAAACAGCTCTCCCTCGAAGGAAACGACAGTGGAGTTGAGGTAGTGGTTCAGCAGCTCCAAAAAACCTTCGACTGTGAGACCACACGCATTGCGAAATGGGACTTCTCCATTTTCCTCAATACAAAGTCTAACAGCCTCAAAAAGGTGTTCATGGGGGACCGAATAAAAAAGGTCTTCCACGTCAATTGAGAAGCCTGTTGTCCCCTTGAGGACTCCTCCCTGTAGGAACTCTAAAATTTCTTCAGAATTCCTGACCAGGAAAGGATCCCCCAGCTCCAACGCAGACAAGTGTTTACGTAGAAAACCCCCCACTTCCACCTGCCACGAATCCCTCTCCGTAACTATAGCCCTGAACGGACACCCACTCTTGTGGGTTTTTGCTGTGAAAAAAACTTCCAGGTTAACATTTTTTGACGATTGCACTTTCTTTTCTAAGCTGGACAGATCCAACTTCTGACATAAGGCTCTGGTTTGTGATTTTACCCTGTTCAGTGAAACATCCTTAACAGGTTTGAAGTGTTTTTGTATGGCCTCACGTGACTTGTGTTTGAACAGCTTTTCTTCCGCTACCACAAAGCCGCCCTCCTTGTCAGCTACTAGTAGACGGAGGTTATTTTCCTTGAAGTGTGAAACAACATGCCTCAAATTGAAGCCTGCTTGACCAAGTCCTGACGTGCGCATAATAACATCTACACCTTCAGATACGCACCTGTCCCTATCCTCCTGTGCCGCCTTGTCCGCCAGAGTTCGCACCAATCCAAGCTTGTCCACAGGCTTCATCCTGGGCGCCAGGCTTGTCTTGGGTCCTTTTTCCAAGATACGGGTGACATCTGGCGGTGCAGAAGCATCTCCCAGAAAGGTGACACAGTCCGGCGAATCAAATCTTCTCTTCTTTTTCGGCAGCGACGATCGGAGCCTATCCCAAAGGAATTCTGTGACCTTGGAAGCAAGTCGAAGGTGCTCTCCATACTTTCTGCAGGCCTCTCTTTCGGTGGACGTGGACTCGTGTTCAAACACAAGTCACGTGAGGCCATAGAAAAACACTTCAAACCTGTTAAGGATGTTTCACTGAACAGGGTAAAATCACAAACCAGAGCCTTATGTCAGAAGTTGGATCTGTCCAGCTTAGAAAAGAAAGTGCAATCGTCAAAAAATGTTAACCTGGAAGTTTTTTTCACAGCAAAAACCCACAAGAGTGGGTGTCCGTTCAGGGCTATAGTTACGGAGAGGGATTCGTGGCAGGTGGAAGTGGGGGGTTTTCTACGTAAACACTTGTCTGCGTTGGAGCTGGGGGATCCTTTCCTGGTCAGGAATTCTGAAGAAATTTTAGAGTTCCTACAGGGAGGAGTCCTCAAGGGGACAACAGGCTTCTCAATTGACGTGGAAGACCTTTTTTATTCGGTCCCCCATGAACACTTTTTTGAGGCTGTTAGACTTTGTATTGAGGAAAATGGAGAAGTCCCATTTCGCAATGCGTGTGGTCTCACAGTCGAAGGTTTTTTGGAGCTGCTGAACCACTACCTCAACTCCACTGTCGTTTCCTTCGAGGGAGAGCTGTTTGTGCAGAAACGTGGTATCTGCATCGGTTCCGCTGTAGCACCGGTACTGTGTGACATTTTTCTTGCAAATTGCGACAAGCGTATCTCTGAAAAAATTCAGCAAAAGGAACATGTAAAACTTTTTC